CGACTCTATAGAGTTTGGTTGACATAGCTATAGTAGTTTCCGAGATATGTACAAAAAACTTAGTAGGGGSSGGGCCACACCCACTTTTCCAAAAAAATTACGTCCAAATATGCCCCTCCCTATGCGATCTTTTCTGCCAAATTTCATTTTAATATCTTTATTTATGGCTTAGTTATGACACTTTATAGGTTATATGTTTCCGCCATTTTGTGGGCGTGGCAGTGGGCCGATGCTGCCTATCTTCGAACTTAACCTTCGAACCAAGTTTCATTATGATATCTCAATTTCTACTCAAGTTACAGCTTGCACGGACGGTCAGACATGTATCCAGATTTCAACTCTACTCGTTACCCTGATCGCTTTGGTATATATAACCCTATATCTGACTCTTTTAGTTTTAGGACTTACAAACAACCGTTATGTGAACAAAACTATAATACTCTCCTTAGCAACTTTGTTGCGAGAGTATAAAAAAACTCAAAATTTAAGTCGAAGTTTCAACTAAGTACGTTGTTTTTAAACTACAGACCTTTAGCACACTATCTATCCACAAAATTGAAAACCATGAATCCAATGAAGTAAACAAAAGCAATTCGGAGACGTTTCTCTTTATTTCAGCAACAGCTTTGTGTTCATGGTTCGAGCGTTTGCCTTCACTTTGCGCCCAAAGTATCACAACACTGGCTATCGTCATTGTGATCACAGCGTCGCTTATGCAACACTCCGTTTTCTTTTGTTTGTATTATTGTTGTGCTTGTAATTGCATTGTGCTCACAGCATCATGCCAACGGTTACGTAAGACCGCCGGTATAAGCTTGTCGGCAGTTGTCGCTTGTCTTACAATTCATATTTCCTCCTTTGGGTGCATTTTTGCGCTCCTTTGGAGGGCTGCCAAGCGCTTTTACTATTTTTTTTTTGTTAGAGATGGCAAGTACAAATATTGGCATTGTTTGGCTTTTGTTCTCGCCCTCCTTGTTATTTGCTGCTCGCAACAGTTTAACACAAATAACACTAATTTTTTATTGAAAAGCGAAAGAGCGTAATAATAATAATTGTAAAATTCCTTAAAATCATTAAGTTCAAATGTAATTGTGTTGCATTGCTATTAGTTTCAGTTTTCTCCTTTAGCTTGTCGCTCCCATTTTATTTCTTCGCTTACCCTCCTTTTAGAAGTCATTTGTTGCTCACCACTGTCAACTAATTAAAGCAACGTAATTTTTGATTGCTTTCATTTACTGTTATGTTTAACAATAGGTCCCGCTCTTCTGCTTTGCCATCGCCCTTAATTTTACATGCTAAATATTGTTAAAATCATAGTAATTTATACTTTTCCGTTTCATTGTTTTTCAAGTGTGCCATATAGAGCAAACTTTTGAGAGACGTATATTGGGGGCAAAGTTATTAATGCGAAATTATTTTAAAATCAGCGAGTTTTGCTAATTGAATTCAGGAGAACTTTGTAAGCAAAAGTTTTCCGTCGAAAATTTTCGAGTGAAGTTTGATCAACTCTGAGCACAATACAATTATGCGCATAAAATTGAAAGTGTTTCGAATTAGGACATTCATCATGCTTAGAAATCGTGTATTGTTTGAAGTCTTAATAGTTATTGAACCGAACTGAAGATCACGAACAATTGCCTACGGGTTCTTAAAAAATCTCTTAGAAAATATGTTTTGTTTTATGGATCGTCTAAAATCTAGTCAAAGCTTTCTCAATTTTCTTAACATAATTAAATTTAGGTAGGTACCTAGAAAGAGTTTGACGACGTATGTAGGCCTTTAGGAGGCTGGTTGTGAAACCACCGCGAACAAAAATCCCTCACTGTATTGTATCCAATCTAAAACACCCTTTGTTTCGGTTGAAGTTCATGAAAAGTGGCAATTAAAGAATGATCATTTTGATAAAAATTTTGAAATTTTAATAAACAAAATAGTACAATTTTGATAGGTTTTCAATATGTGCAAGAAACGCATTGTTGCTTTTACCGGGTTTCACCGGTCGAAAAAACACTTACATCGTGATTCTGAACACTTACCTATGCATATTCATGAGAGCTTTTACAAAATAAGTTGTATCAATTGACGTAGCGGACTTTTGATATGAAATATCGCAAGCGAGTAAATTGCATCAGGAGAACCTACATAAATCATAACCTCTTTATTTGTCGCAACTGCAGCGAAACCAATAACACTAACTTAAATATCTCATGAGATACCAGTGAGCACTGAGCAGAAATGAGAAGAATAAGCACTCTCGAACAACACAAATGAGCATCAATGCCACCAATAACGGATTCTTTAGTTTTTGAGCAACGAAATGAAGTGAACAAATGTTTTGACGCGAAAGTTGGTGCGGAATATTTTATAGAGAAAAATTAAATTGTGTAATATATAGTGAATATTTTTGTGAAATTTTGATGCGTCAAGTTAGTGCGCGTCGTAATAGTTTGATAATAGAGTAATAAAATGTGTGGTGCTTGTGAATAAAGTGTTGTGAAAGTTTCGATTCATGTTTGTGCGCGTTTATATTCTTTTGTTGTTAGTCGATATGAAGGTTGCGGAGACAGGAGCGATGCTGTATGAATGGAAAGCAAACGGTACGTCCATATTATATGTAAATGCATGCATTCATAGATATGCTTATAATTGCTCAAATTAATTATTACATTTTTCTAATAATATATTTTTTAATATGTTTCTGGAAGATTTTTACTTGCTGAACAGAAAATTTTCAGCAAATAAGTTTAAAATTTCTGTATTATGTACATATTAGGTTGTTAAAAAAGTCTTGCGGTATTTTTTTTATTTTGTAACGGTTTGATAACTCATGCCCAGCTTTTGACCGATGCTGTGGCTTCCGGAGCGTGGCACACCTTCGACCACCTCTACACCAGAACGAAGGCGTTGAAACCATCGTTGTGCGGTGGAAATGAAAACTGTATCGGGTCCATAAACTGCAAAAATTTTATTGGCGGCTGGAGATGCATTTTTGCCTTTATCATAGTAGCACTACTGTAAAATATGCCGTATTTTTTCTTTATTTTGCTCCACGAACGACTTAAAAGAACCGACAAGCAATCAAACACGTGTTAGCGCGTGAAATGAGCTTTCCAAAAAGGTATAGCATGACCCGATGCGTTGAATAAAGCTAGAACTACGCGCTCTCAGCGCCAACTAGCGAAAATACCGCAAGACTTTTTTGACAAACTAATGTGTATGCGCTTAGACGAGTGGTATTTTAATACTCTTGGCACATGTAGCTACAGAGTATAATAGTTTTGTTCTCCTAACGATTGTTTGTATCACTTAAAACTAAACGTTATAGATATATGGTTAAATATATATATAACTCATTAGGATGAGGAGAAAATTGGAAATCAAGGTGACTGTCTGTCTGTCCGTGCAGCTGTAACTTAAGAAACAATTAAGATATTTTGATGAAACATCGCATATATAATATGTTCTTTAGCGCTTTTAGCGATCAAAACCGGCTCGTTACTGTGAATAGGAATCGCTACTGCGCAATGGTAATCGAATATTTTTGGCCCGAATTGGATTATATGAATTTGGACAGTATTGTAAATAAAGGCTGGTGAACGTGTTGTCTCACGCAAAGACCCAGTCAATTGGTTGCCTCGGTCGTGCGATTTGACGCCGTTAGACCATTTCCTGTGAAGCTACGATTGATGAATGTTTGAGTTCGCTACATAATGGCATCGGAGGTACTTACACAGGAATAAAGAATTTCATTGATATCCCCAACCATTTTTTTTTCTTTTATTGAAAACCTCGTTAGATTCGAAACTTTCTTTTACTTGAGTCTACGTGCCCTATGCATCGCAAGTTTGAGCCAGTTAAAAACATTCAGTCTTTCTTCCCTTGATATATCCGATGTTGGAAAGTTGATTATTTCTCCGCAACCACTAGCTGGAGTATTCTTATCCATTTGCACGGGTCATATCCTAACCTTTGTACGATTCATATAACGTATCTATCTATCTTTCGTAATGTTCACCGTCATTAAAAGCTAAAAGCCGTCAGGCAGATGCTCCATTAGTCTTATTCATCGACAAGTTTCATAAATTGTGTACAGTTTTACGATTACCACTGACTTATAACCTCTTTTTCTGTGCCTGAGCAGGAAAAGACGAAGCTATCGAAATAGTTATTTAATTTCAAGCTTGATGATGAAGAGACATTATGGAATCGTCCTATCTATGAGAGGCTTCACATAATAACCAAGGGTTAGTAGAAACCCTTTCGAATATAGCAAATACACTTTTTGTTATTCTACTTTACCATTTCAGAACAAGAATGTAGAGTCGTAATCTGGTTTGCACAAGGTTTCAGTTTTCATTAATAGTACAAGTGCTGAGCTTAAACTGTGTAGAGTCGAACTATTTTGGACGAAATTGCGAGGAGAATGTTAAAGCTAAAAACTGAAACTTTCGATGTTTATCAAGCAAGGTTACATTTTCTACTTAGCTAGAGCTTGATTTCGTCAATATTAATCATCGCATAAGCCGCACTCTGGCACGTCCGCGCTGACCTTCCATGTGGGACCTACTGCGAGAACAAACAAAATGCACTCCTTGCCATTGTCACATTCAATAAATTTCAACTTCAATGTGTCAACGCCTGCGTCATGTCAAAATTAGCAACATTTGAAATTCATCCTAAACTCCAACGCCCACACACGCATGCAACGTGAACTGAAAGTAGTTGAAATAGTGAAGGATGCAACTTGCCAATTTAGCGTGAAACGCCTCGAACTCGTACACGTCTCACTACAAAGGCAACTTCAATTTTCATTTCGCTCATTATGCTGAGAATTGCATTGGTGCACTCGCACCCGCCGACGTCCCGCTGTGGCCAGCACGCTGTCTGACCAACCGTACAAATTCCATCCGCTAACTACTTTTGTACGGTCCAACAGCGCTGCGCTGTCTTGCTGGGCCACTGCCGAAATGAGATTACGATTCGACGCCGCATGAAAACATTCAACGAAAGAGCGAACGCCGCATCAGCACAATTATGAATGCAAACATAATCCTTGCGAGCTTTGTCTTTACACGCACGCCAAATGAGGGTGAGATGTTCATGATGCAATGGGAGCTGGGTGCTTTGGACAAGTGGTCAATTGGTGCATTGCACATAGGGAAACTTACACACTATATGCTACTGGGTACTTACACTCGTTGCGCCCCGCGATGGCCGAGTGCGCTAATGGCGTCACTTGGTAGCTATCCGCATCACTGCCAATGCTGCTGCCGCCGCCGCCGCCGCCACCACCACTGCCAAGCGTCGATGTGACATGATAGCCATAACCATTCTGCGAGCCATAGACTGTCATGCCCGCTACAGTGGCGGCGGATTTCTGGTGTTGCTGTTGCTGCTGCTGATGCAGTTGTTCCTCGTTATCCTGCACGGCTGTGAGTGTTAGCTCCATCGCATGCGAATCTAGTGATTTGCTGCTATCCAGACTACCGGTGGGATAATAGGGTGGTGGCGCTTGATTTGTTTGCGCCACTATAGATGGGCGACCCGAGTCGAGATCGTATTCTTTGGCCGGTGAGCTGGCGTTGGTCTTCTTCTTTTTGGATGCCACGCGTCGACAGTGACAAAAGAGCAATAAGAGTCCGACGAGCAGTAGGAATGCAATGGACGAGACGATTATGGCTATTACAGCGGATGTCGTTAGCGTTGATGTCTCAGGCATATATGATTTGCCAACTGCGGTGATTTGCGTTCAAATCCAGCCCAAATGTTTGCGGAGTCGATTGATGAATGGTGACGTGTGAAGAAAAGAAAAAAAAAAATTAGCGGTGAGTTTGGCAAAATGTGAAGTTGTAATGGTGTCATTGGAGTGAACATGAACTTTACAAAGTGTAAGCGAACTCAGGGTTAACCTAAAAAGGTGAGGAAGTAGTGTTTGTTCTACATATATGGATGCATGTATGGTAGCTGTGGATCTCTGCACTTGGTCAGTCATGATAAAAAGGACCTTAAGGAATATTATTGGTATTTAGAGTTTTGGGTAATGAAATACTTGGATACATCGAAATAGTCTGCTAAAACACCAACCCCCTCGTTTATAGTAAATCCCATTTCTTAAGTAGATTAATAGAAATGGAAGTCAGGTAGCGGTTGAAAAACTAAACATTGAATGTAAAATATATTGTATATAAAGCAGGTTGTGCTCAGGGCAATTTTGGAAAAAAAGTGGATGCATTAACTTCGTAGGCGCAGAATCCAATGTCAGCTGAAATGAAGACTATCATAACCCATCTATTTAGTGGTTGTCTTTCTGCCCGCAAAAGGGTAAATGATTCAAACCTCATTCCCTTTTTAGATTTATTTTGTTATGGTCTATAGGATTCTGTCCAAAAATTTTCGAATAGGAAAGACCCCCCACCATCCCACACAAGAAATGAAGCAGACTTTAGTGGAGGACAGTTTGAATATGATAGTCAGCAGAGCCATGGATATTATAAGATACTGTCATGCATCTATTTTGGAATGGCCAACCAGTAAGCAAAGTAGAAACAAAGTTTGGCGGACTCTACAGCCATTATTTCAAGGTTGAGGGATATTTGGACTGTTTAGTTTTAGAACTTTTAGGGATATTATGAAAAGTGTGATATGTGGTGCATAGTGCCGCCAAAGCTACACGAAAAAGAGGGATAACAGGCATTCTCGGCTTTCGTGATTCCTCATCCTGCAAACGTGAATATAAGATTTTTTTTTTCAACTGAAGTAGCTTCCAACAAAAACTGTCGAATTTGCAATGATGGGCTATATATCAGCTAGTTTTGAAATGAAAGAGCAATGTAAACCGCGGTAAAGGCGCTGCCGAGAGGAAGCAATACTTCAAACTAAATACGTCTGGGACACTCACATCAACTTCATTCACTACTTTGTACTGGCTATACTCACTTTCCGCATTCGCATACTGTCCGCAATGGTCGTGATTGGTGCGTAGGCACAATTTCACACGCACCGTAGGTCCCTGCGCCGTCTCCGCCAGCGCCAACGTTATGTCCTCAGCATGGCCCAGTGTACGGCCAGATGCGCTGTAATGTGTCGTTTGTGGAATGTGATTAATTACTGCCTCTTTGAATGTGGCCTCACTGCCGGACGGTAGTAATGTCACTGTATCCACAATCTCCCATGTGGCCATTGGCGTTTCGCGATTCACCAATGATTCGACTATTGCAATTAATGACAGACATGTCGCCGCCACATTGATACCCAGAACGTGCGAGTTGGGATCATAGGTGACATGCAAGGGTGGCGGAATTTTACTGACTTTTGTGGTGGCCAACACTTCGTTGGAGTAGCCCGAACTACCTTTCGAATTCAACGCATACACACGAAACATATAGCTTTGATATTGATCCAACGGCATCACTTTACAGGGATTCTCACGATAGCAATCGAACTCTAGCCAATCTGCTGAGCCGGCACTACTGCCAGCGGTAAAGCTCGCAGCGGCGCTACTGCTGCTGCTACTGCTCACAATGGATGTGGTGTAGGTGTGTGTGGCGCAGTCGGAAAGTGTTTGTTCGCGCGGAGTTGCCACCCGACGATAAGTGACAAGGAATTTTGTGCTCAACAAGCCACCATTGAAGCCCGGTATCCAGCTGAGTATGGCATAATTGTGCGATATTTCCATTACTTTGAGCGCGGTGGGCCGTTCCGGTGCACCCTTGGGTTGCAGTCTAATCTGCGTGCGTATTGTGTCGAGTGGATTGACAGCACGACAAGTGTAGTCGCCATAATCGGAATGCGAGATATGGTTTATGCGCAATATCGAGGTATAGACATCATTATTATCCGTGCGTATTGCAATTTCATAATGACCATCCGAAGACATTGTAAGCGGCGAGGGATTATTTGCAAATTGCCATTGAAATTCTGGCTTCGGATAAGCTTGCACCTTGCACATAACCTCCGCCGACTCGCGCACATCGTAAGCCACCTTATTATACTGATGCAAAACAATCGGCTCGTGTTCGATGCGTAAATGCATGCTCGAGTTGGCCGAGTTCACCTCATTCTCATAGAGACAAGTGTAGAGACCACGATCACCAGGCACCAACTGATTGCCATTTGGCCGCCCTTTGCCGCGGAACTTCAGTATGCTTTGCACGGTGACGACGCCACCTTGACCCTCGGTGGGCGTTGTGCGTATATCATACATCTTACGACCTGGCAGTACCTCCGTGCCATCCTTGATCCAACGTATAATGGGCGTGGGTTTACCTTTGGCGCTGCAAGTGACCGCATAATCGACATCGCCCACACGTCGCGTCATGTGTTGTTGTAGTTTGGCGAGAAATTGTGGTGGCTGGTGTACCTCGAGTATAATCGTAGCCATCTTACCAATACCCAACTCATTAACGGCATGACAGTGATACTTGCCTTCGCTACCGAGATGCGCCTTCGGTATGGAGTATTGTGGTCCTTGCGCCAAAATCTTTTGTGTATTGCTAAACTCACCGTCCACATCACGAAACCAGCGATACTGCGGCACTGGCCAACCGGGCGGATTAGCTGAGCAACTGAGCGTAACACCGTTGCCCACATGCACAATCGGTTTATTCGGTGTTATGTAGGCCTGCCCGGGTCGGTGGCGCACCAACAGCGCCACCGTGGAGTTGCCAACACCTTCTATACGTTTCGAGTTGTAGGGGTTCATCAGATTGACAGCACGACAAATGTAGTTGCCGGCGTGTTCGGCGCGGACTGTTACCAAAGTGAGCAGTTCGCCAGTGAAGCGAAAATCCGGCGCTCCCTCCTTCAACCATTCGATGGTGATGGGCGGTGGATTGGAGGTGACATTACAACGCACCATAACTGTTTCGCCCTCTTCGGCCTCGTGTGTCTTCGATTCGATAACGACAATGGGTGGGAAGAGCACATCAAGTATTATGTCTTTCTCGCCTGATTTGCCCAGCCCATTGTCCGCGTTGCAAGTATATTTGCCCGCATGATGGCGTCCTACGCGATAGATAGTGTGCGTAGGCGTGGCACTAACATATTGCCCGTTGCGTGACCAACGTACGTTGGAGACTTTGGGCTTTGCATCGACATTGCATTCCAATTTGGCGATGTGATCACGTTCGATGCGCAGCGGATTTTGTGGTCCCACTTCGACGCGTGGATAAACTGCAAGTAAATAAGATAATAATGGCGTAATTAGAAGAAGCACACAAATGTATCGATAGAGCTTCTTCAAGGCTTATTTCAGGGGTTTAATGTATAGACCCCGATATCGCTGGAGCTGCAGGTCGTAAGGTTGTTTTACTTATAATTTCATATTGGTTTGGATAGAATTGGTCCCGATAATTTATAGTGAATCGATTTCATCTCGAAAGTACTCTGTTTAATCTTTGGTTATCCTTATTATATTGTGTGAAGTGCCCATGGTGAGTTTAAATAAAACTCGTTTATAAATGTAATTGAGAGTGGTAACATCTCACTGTCAGATATTGCTCTCTACAGTGGTGGGATAAATGTGGTTCATTTGGGTATGGTGAAAAAATTATAATGATTTCGGGGTAAAAGTTCCATAAAGTGAAGAGGAAAATACCGAACTGATCACGGGTATTGAAGTATTTTGGCATGTTGTATTAAAATTACTGTAGACTGAAAGTTTACTTCGAATAAGAAGTCAAGCTAAGCGCAACTCTTACAAACCAGTAGAAGTAATAACTGTGCACAATTAAGGACATTTTTGGGTGTCAAAGACCACAGTAAACGGCTAAACTTTTTTTTTTGGGAATTTCAACTATGGTGTATTAAATTTGGTGAACTTAGCTATGTTGGAAATTGTTTTTTGATAATTTCCAGCGCGATGTTTTTTGTGTGGTGAATTCAACTGTGGTGTGTTAAATGTGGTGAACTTAGCTTTGCTAATTTTTTTTTTTTTTTTGATAATTAAAAGCGCCATACTTTTGTGTGTTGAGTTCAAATTTGATGAGTTAAATTGTGATACATTGAGGTATGGTAAAAAAACGTATTATAATTTCAAGCGCTTTAAAGAAGATGAAGTAAATTAAAACTTTCTTGCTTTAATTAAGAGCTGAGTTAAAGCTTACTTCAAGAAGGAGCTCACACTAATATTATCTCACAACGAATTGATTACAATAAACACGATTTGGATGTGTGGCGTTGATTATATTTTAGACAATATCGAAATTGGCACATGTGTGTTGAACTATGGTAGGTTAAGCATGAATAGTTATGGTGTGGTGAAAAAATATATTTTGTGGTGAATTAAATTGTGATAGAACAAATATGGAAAGTTCAGGTGTTTTAAAAAAATATATCGTTGTTAGAACTGACAGGGAGTGTGGTGAGTTTGTGCTTGTTTGGTTTATGTATGTTGGTTTATCTGTAGGCCAATCAAGATGTGGTGAGTTGACATTAGACTAATATACCATATATAAAAAACTGTTAAGGTGTGGTAAAAAATTTAATGTGTGTTAAATTCAGTTGTGTTAGGAGTTCTGGCGTTAATAAATCGATTTTACAAAAGTAAGGGAGTATGGTGGTGTTTATGCTTGTTCAACTTGTGCATGGTGGCTTATCTGTAGGGAAGTTAAGATGTGGTGAGCTGACATTAAACTAATATATCAACACATACAATTTTAGCTCTTTGATGTCTTCAATTTTGTATCTTTATACTGATCTTCAATATTCACTGAATTATGACCTATGTAAATAATATATATTAAGCCCCTTACACAAATAAGCGAAGAGCACATTTGACTTTTTATGAGCTTACACTAAATCTTTACAAATTGCAACAACTAAATATTAAAATATGCAGTTAAATTGCAACCTTTTTACAGAAATTCACCATAGCAGTGGTGAATTTAAGTTCGTTATTAATATATAATTTTTTTTTAAGTGCCTTAAGAAATACTTAAAACAGAAAATTTTTCAATAAAATTTTTTGGCAGAATTTTATAACGTCAGCCGCATTGAGTTATCTGAGATCACTACAGTCCTTCAGATCCCTAATGTCCTCATAGTACATGGTAATTAATGCTTCCTATTTTCATTCACTTAAAATTCATAATAGCATCTCACTCCCCACCCCTCATTGACCATTGCGGACATCTGTTAATATTCCCAAAAGCCTATGTTTACGATAGCGGTAAATTCGGCTCGCTTGCATTGGCTGTAATAAATATGAATATCAATTTTATGCAGCAAATTGTGTGCAACGCATCAAAATGCTGCCAGGCATGGCGGCTCACTTATAACGGTAAATGCAAATTTTTTTGGTATGCGTGTTCATATTTAATTTGTAAATGCTGCCACGAAAGTAGCAGCCCCCAACCACTCAGTGCGACTTTTAGCGCTGTCGTTGCGCACACACACATACTCACATACTTGCGTATATACATATATAAAGATGTATTCATGCCATCAATGCCACTCATGCAGGCAGGCGCATAAATGTTGGTTGATAGCTGAAAAATGGCAAAACTTGTTTGTGTTGCGGGAACTGTGTGGCAAGATATGAGGGAGCCGCAAGCGTAAATAACGATGACAGCAAAACGTTGCGTTGCGTGAGAGGACGCGCTTCAGCGCTTTAAAATTGTTTTTTGTTGTTTTTGGAAATTGTTGTCGCTGTTGCACATTTTTGTTGTTGTTGTTTTTTGTTGCAACTATAACAACTTTTTTGTTGTTTTTAGTAATTGTTGTTGTTTTAAATTTTTTAGTTGCACTTTTTTTCGCATTTTTTTTTTTGGAATTGCTGTTTTTAATTTTTGTTGTTGTTTTTGGCAATTGTTGTTATTGTTATTATTTTGTTGCTGTCGTTGTTTGTAAGTCTTTTTAACAATTTGTTGCACCTACAGCTTTTATTGGAATTGTTGTTACACATTTTCGTTGTTGTTTTTTTATTGCTATTGTTTTTTTGCAATCACTGGTTTTACATGTTGTTTTGGAAATTGTTATTATTGGCAATTGTTGTTTTTGGCAATTGTTGTTGTTGTAATTTTTTTTGCTGTCGTTGTTACCATTATAGGTTTTATAAAAATTGTTGTTTTTAAATTTTTATATTATTATTATTATTACTGTTGTTGTAAATGTTTTTGTTGTTGTTGTTATGATTGCCATTTTCACAACATCTGTCAACCGCTAATAACAGCCTCGGCCCACTCGTTGCTGTCATCTCACCTTTATTTCTCTTATTCAACCTGCCGTCCTTGACTCACCCCATCGCTAGTCTTCGTCGGTTGCAGAAATAAAGTTGTCGTTCAACGCGTGTTGACAACGTTCATTGCCGCTGCGCCGTTATGTACACGCCTGTCGTTCCTGCCACACACGCTGTTGTCGCTCAATTAAATGTGCCACATTGGTTGTTTTTTTTGTTTATCCTTGTTTTTGTTATTGTTGATTTTTCATATACGCATTCATTATTGTTTTATATAGTACATATACATATATATATACATATACATATACATATATATATATATATATAAAACATCCGTTAGCATCGATAGTTCGCCATTGCATAGGCGCTCTGCACTGACGCGGCCGCCAAAGGGCCGTCGGCTGCGGTTGAACTCGTTAGAAACGAAGCTGAAGCAAGTTGGTTATTTGTACCTACTAACGTTCATAAGCTTATGACCCATAATAGTTTGACTTTTGTCCAGCTACTATGCCTACAAACACAAATACATATACATATATGTATATGTGCATGTGCCAGATTTTTATGATCCGTGACGTTGGACATTTCCTGCTCAAGGGGTGTGTGTGTTGTTGTTGTTGTTATTATTATTGCCATCGCCATGGAACGCCCAGCGGCATCATTTAAATTAAGTGAAATTGCACGTAAATGTCGGTCATTAGCAGCGAGAAAACATATGCATTGCTTTCTGCCCATGCACAGCCATAAAGAGGTTCCACATACACGCATACATGTGTATGCATGTGTAGACGTGCACAACTGCATTAAAAAAGGCGGATGTGAAGCCTGTCCACAGGGTTCGGTAAACTTTGTTTATTGCCGCCTAAGTGTAGATATTGGTGTCATAAACCAATGTGTCGTCAGGGGATAGCGGAAAGATCGCGTTGCTATTGTTGTTACCTGCTGATAACAAAAACAAGTAGGTTACTCTACCAATAATATTGTTTAAACTTGGAAATTAGATACAAACGGTTGCGGTAGAAGTGGAGCTTGAATGGGGAACAAAATTAATACGCGGTCACATCATTTTGCAGTTTCCTTCATCAATGAGAAGTATAAAATTTACAATGGTCAAGAAAGGGACAGTCTAGTGAGAAATTTCGCTACCTTTCAGAAACCGAATTTCGGTTTCAGATCACAAATACTGTGGATTCTTCTGAGAGAAACTCTTTCATAATCCAATATGCTCTTTTTCAAAACAAAGTTCTTCGCAGAATACATTCAAAGTTAAAGTTTCTAGGAGGATGGTCTGCGATCTGTTACGATTTTTTTGTGGTTTTCAAGATAAAAATTACGTACGACTTCAGAAAACATAATAATTCGGAACTTGTAAGTTAATCTTCTGCAATCTACTGTAATTGTTGTTGCCTTCAAGACAAAGCCGACTTTCTGTCGCAGAAGAAGTACCAAGTCAAAAATTAAGTTATAACAAGTACTCATTACTATGGAGGAGAATCAAATAATGGCACAAAATTCTAAATAAGAATCTCGTTTCATGAAATATGGTTAAACCAGCCTTGTTTTCTTGCTTTGATCTTTCAGTTTTGCTAAACTTACATATGGCAAGTAATTGCAACTTCGGTATAAAAAACAGCGAGTTAGTGTATATTATAAATACTCTTACAAGTTTGGTCCCATGAATAGATTACAAAAGGTTTGGTAAATTGGCGGACTTTTTCTGGAGCTCTAGCTACCGTGCGTTTTGGCGCCCAGAACTCCTTGGTATGGATCAAAACGTCTGTCGGATATCGACTCAAAATATATATTCATATAGAAACTGTGTCACCGAGATGTCTAGCGAAAGCTGAATAGTAAATCTTACTTCAGCATCTTAGAAGGCTAGTCCGCTGTCCAAATCCACAAAGCGCTTTGAGCCTATCACAAATACATGTGGTGAGGTGGCTAATGTCATGTTTCCTGGTTCGCCGTAGGTAGGATGGCCGAGGCGTTCCAA